CCTGTGACGTTTAGGAGAGTAGACAAAGGGAGTGATATAACCCATGATGCATGATTTAATTGGAGATATATGAGATGAGATTGACTTATCTCTTTTGATTACCTAGGCTTTGCGGTACGCTAGTCATTAGAAATTAGTATACTTGTATTGTTGCTTAGCAATACATGTTTTAAAGAAATCCAGTTCATGATCAAGCAACAGAGAGGCTTATCTACGTTTAAATTAAAAAAATATCAATTGGTTGTTGATATGTTACAAGTTGGTGGTTCAACGTAAAATCGCTGCACGAATTCTCACCCATAAGCATTTTATTAATTACGATCTAATTGATGGCCAATTGCACTAAATTATTCTTCCTGAATTCACAGTGATGTGCGGTGGGTACCTTGATTTTATGACTCCAGAGCAGTGCAAGATTAGACGATCCCAAGTAATCCGGCATCCAAGGTTCAATTATGGGGGGGAATAAATGGCATTAAAATGAATCTTAGTTCCCTTACTTACTGTTTAGATAAATATTTATTCAGGCTGCAACGCTAAATCTGGACTCAAAAAGTCACAACACCAAAGGACCATCCATCATGATGCCAAAGTATAAAAAGCTGCGTAGCCTTTTCAGATTTTGGAACAGCGTTGCTTTTGCAAAGATGAAACAAAACCGCATCATCAAAAGAAACAATAATTCCTAAGGGGTCATCTTCCAATTTTACAAAATCAATTAACATCTGCTGTGATGATGACCCCTGCGACATTATTGTGATTCAAATAATCCAACATAGAGAAAGTTGAAATTCACCTATTACAGAAGTGGGAAATCAACTAACTGTACGACATGTCAGCATGGCTAGTTGTTTTCTATACTTCGCGAAGGCTCTAAATCATCAAAAGACTTATATATTTAAATAATAGGAACAAGAGAGAACAACCATGAATCTGGCTATAAGTAATATCAAAAACTGGAACAAACTGATGAGGTCCCACAAATCACAAAAATTAAGCCATCTAAATGGTATCAGTTCAAGGCATACAAAGGATATAAACCAAAACAAACAATACAACAAACAAATCATACACTCGACTTACCCTGTTATTTAGGGGACATTCATTACTTGGATTGATTGCAGAGAATCAGAGAGAGCAATGACCAGATCACCAGACTGGATCATTCCCCTTGCCTTGAGAAGAGAGAATGTACGGTTGAGATTGCTCTCCATGTCATCAGAGCAGCTGAGACGGAAGGGAATGAGGCCCCATTGAAGATTTAGCCGTCTCCTCACTGAGGTTGAGCTTGTGAAGGCAAAAACTGGGCAGTCTGGGCGACAACGAGAAAGAAGAGAAGCCATATGACCAGTCGTTGTGAAAACAAAGAGAGCATCCACCCCCAAATTGTTAGCTGTCATGATTAATAAGAAAAAAGAAAAAATAAAGAAAGGTCAATTATAAGAAAGATGATTTCTCGATTACTAGCACATACAAGATTATCAAAACCTCCATTTTCTCAATTTATCCTAAGAAGTAAAATTTGATTTTTGGTTGTTCTCTGATTGTCATTAGACACAGGGAATCAGATGGATACCAGATAATCCTCACTGCTGCCAATTGAAGGCTGCTTTTATTTAATCAAACTGAGAGTTTGCCAGCAAACATAAGGAGAAGCTGGTGGTTGATGCTATATACTAGAAGAACGAGCAAATAATTCAATCCAAAGTAAAGGGTTTGCAGATACACCCTGTGTTAATCGCCAAATTGAACTTCGTACCCCCACAATTCTATTGTGGCAAAGAGACCCCAAATGAAGAAAATTTTGACCCATTAGCGGTCGATCTTCAACAACAGAACTCTTTCAAGGGGTCTATCTGCAACAGTAGAACTAAAGGGGTAGTAAGCTCAATTTGGCCATAGTATAGGTGCCTACCCACAATTAACCCTTTAATAAAAATGAAATATTGAAGAAATGACTACATCATATTTCAATTTGCATGATGGATGCCCAAGGGGTTTTTCCCCCTCCCTCCAGAAACAACACTAATAAAGCCGCACAAATAGAAGAATGTATATGATTTACCCAAATAGAAGAATGTATATGATTTACCCATTTTTGCAGCTGAATTGCAAATCTCTTCTGAGATTTTATCCGAGAAAGATGATGCTACATTCGGGAGCTCCATAGCTTCACGACGCTTCTCTTCTCTCCACCATCGTTCAATCCTTAGGCTCACACTTCTTAGAACAGTTAAAGCCTTTTCTGGGTACTGCCCCATGGCAGACTCACCAGAAAGCATCAATGCATCAGCCCTTTGCCTTACAGCTTCAGAAACATCAGCAACTTCAGCTCGTGTAGGTGTAGGATACTCAATCATAGACTCCAGGAGTTGAGAAGCAACAATGACTGGCTTATTCAGCTGCCTACACATTTTAACAACCCTCTGCTGAGCTGAAGGAACCTGTTCCAATGGAATTTGAGCGCCCAAGTCTCCTCGTGCTACCATGGCTCCATCTGAAGCCCGGATGATTTCTTCTAAGTTCTTCAAGGAATCGATACTCTCGATTTTTGCGATCACCGAAATGTCACTGTGAAAGATCAAGTAATTCAGATTAGGTTAAGTTGGAAAGGAATAAGAACTTTTAAGGAGAAATTCATTAAAACTCAAATTCAACTAACTGGTGATTTTGCATTATCTGGATAAAATCCAAAAAATAAAAATATTTCAGGTCATTCTAAAGTATAAATTTCATACAAAAATGCGGATGGTCATCGCAATAATTAAAATATGTAATTTTTTGATGACAATCATCAGAAAGAGGTCACTGCAGATAAGTAAGCCTTTGGCTACTGATATTCAGACCAATAATGTTCCACTCTTCAACACTGCATGCATATTCCACAGTTGGCCAATTTCTGAGGTAGGTATCCAACTGTTACCTCTGAATACATGTCAAATCCCCAGTGGTAGAGTATTATGGATTCAACTTTGTTCACCCTTCAAGTTTGGTCCCTAAAAGCATAATCCGTATTCCCTTTTTTTTCAAGAAATTTAAGATAGAGAAATTGATGACAGCACAAAATCTTTTGGCAACTAATTTTGAGCAATGTTTAACGATAATAACCCTAAATTGGTTAGTAGGTAGTTACTGTTGAATATGTTAGCATAGGATTGGGTCAAAATAATGGTCGGTAACACAGATTTCATGACCTTCATATGTTTATTATTTGGACAGTGGAGCATAACTTTTATACCTCGCACTCCTTAAATTATTAATTATCAATATTTTTTAAGCTGATGTTGTTATTGCTTTGAAAACTTTCTGTGGTTTCCTAAACATTTTTCCTTATAGCATCTTTAATTGTTTAAGCAGAAATAATTAAGCTGAACAAAAAGGTGCAAGAATAAAAAAAGTCAGGATACCAAAACTTTTTGCTCTAAAGTAAGTCAATTTCTTTTTTATTTTTTTCCTGAATGAAAAGGGGATAATATGTGACAACTACAAAAAAATAATGCCACTCATTTAGTTAGTCAATTCCAAATGATGTAAAATAACAATCAGAATGGGAAAGGTTCGAAGAAGAAAGTTCAATAGTTTCAGAACATCTACAAATATCATTATCCCCATTTATATATACAATAGTCAATATGCAAAATTATTAAACTAATCAATATTAATGTAAGTCTTACCTAAGGAAAACTTGACAACTTGTGAAGTTTGAGGGTCATACTCATAGGTAAATCTTTGTCAACTTATCACCAACTAGGATCAAAGGATACATATGCAAGGAGTCCATATTTACAAAGAATATTAGAGAGCACAAATTGTTTTAAAGTATATGCATGGTCTGTATTATATCACACTGAGACAGGAAATTAACAAGTGCTTTGGTTTGACACCATGATGGGAATAACAGCCGAACACTGACATGAAGTTTGAATGCAAATTTGGAACATAGAAACTTTCAGGCAGTTTAAGCAAATCAGTATCACTCTATATAAGCAAATAAGCTATAAGATGAGCTGAGACTCCTCCATTGTGCCACGATCTAACAAGAAATAATGTGACCATAACAATAAAGGATGTGTAATATACTATAGGAAATAATGGGTATGAGGTGACAACTCATTTTGCTAAATGAGCTACCAAGAAGTAGTCATATGATGGGCACACCTTGCTAGTCACATCAAAAGGTGTGGACCTCACCTCTTTATCTCTTAGTAGCTCATCTTGCTAAATGAGCTGCCATCTCATAACCATCATTCCCTATACTATATAAACTTTTTTATTTCAGGGTGGCAAAAGAACAATGAGAGCAAATAGAAGGAAGCCTTAGCGTAAGGGAGGGGAGGGAGGAGATATTATTTGTTACCTGTCCCGACATCTAGCAGCTATGTAACTTTTGAGATGATTGATGACTTCTGCAGACTTGACAAATGAAACTGCAATGAAGTCCACACCTTCAGCAATCCCAAAATCTATGTCCAGCCAGTCCTACGCAGTTTCAAAAGCGAGATGCAATAAACTACACAGAAAGTTGAAGTAAAATGAAAGAGCTTCTTTTAGTGATTAGAGCATGTCTGGGGAGTCGGGGACTTCAGATTACATAATACACTTAAATGGATTATAATCTAAGTGAATTATAATCTAAAGTGTTTTGCAAGTTCAGTGGATTATAATGCATTTTTTATAGTAGAATGTTTGGTAAATTAGTGGATTATAATCCGTCATTGTTGTCAAAATGACCAAGAAGGACATAGGGTTGGTGGTGAACTATTGAATAATGCATTGGATTTTGTGAAATCATTAAAGTGTATAATTGTCTTTTACATGGTCAAACCTCGTGGCTTATAATCCACCAGAAAATAAGCTAGAATACCCCTAGTGTATTTTTTAGTGGATTATATGCCAAAATAAGTTGCTTTCCAAGCATCTCAAAGTGACTTATAAGTCACTTTGACCATTTGCCAAACATGCTCTTAAATTCTTCAGAAAGCTTTCTAAAACTGATTCTTGTGTGTGCATAGGGAACTTTCAGTGACCAGAAGTATTTTCTTTTCAATCTTAGGGTCAATATACCCAACCAAGTTTACTAACTTGCATCTGCTCTGACCTGCAAAACAATGAGTAAACAGGACCCAATAAAATAATTTCACAAACTTAAACTCCAGGTTGAGTTTTTTTACTGAATCATTTCCTGTTGTTCACCCAAACTTCCCAGGTGTTACTTATGTATAGTTAGTACAGCGTCAAACAAACTTTAAATCAGTTCGTTCAATATTAGAAAGTAATGGCTTTAAAATTACAGAGTATAAAGTACAAATCATCAAACACGCTGATTCCTTCTAAAGGTTCACACATGGAATTGGATTTTTAGATTACAAAGCAATGATGCAAAGGAAAAAATATCCAATGCCTGTAACTGTATATGGTTTGCATATTGCAAGTACTCTACTAGTGTCCCTGATGAAGCTATACCATATAAGAGAATTAAGATGTTCAGGCCACGTGGAAAATACAAAATACATAAGCAGGTCAAAATTTTGTTGAGTTTGATCAGCCAACATGTTTCCATCTCAGATAATATATAGACCCTTGTTTCAATTACTATGTCGTCCATTAGTGGTGGATCCAGGATTTTCATAAAGTGGACAATTAAACTTGTTATTGTTGTAGATTGATTAACTCAAATAGATAGCAAAACCGATTAAAATAGAAATGAGGGAAGCCTATGGTAGAAAATATGGAATTCAGTTGGCTTACCAATTATATCAAAGGCTATACATTGGGAAAAGGTCCTATATCAAAGTGGTGTCACGTGACACCACTTTGACATAGGAGGATATGGCCCTGCTGTCCATATGTTAGATTGACTAAGGAATAAAAGGAAACTTCTGAGACAGTTCATGAGAAAGGCCCCACCTTAGGAGATATTGTAGGAAGCATGGCATTGCGTTCTCGAACTAGACTACCATCTCTCCAGAAAGTAAGATTAGCCCGTGGCAGCAGCAGTCCAGGATCAGTACAACGACATTTAACATCCGGTCCAAGCTTCTCAACCACCTCAAACCTTACCATTCCTCCATCAACGAGAAGGTCATCACCAACCTCAACATCTGTACAATAACAAAAAGATATATGTCACTATCTGTTGACTTAGATAGCATAGTTACTTGTGTGCTTGTATCCAACAAAGTCTCGATATACAGGGTCATAACCTTCAGCAAAGCCATCATAATTGACAATGATGGTGTGGTCTGGGAGTGGTGAGCTAAAAGCTCTGACAGTAAATGTCCATATTTCACCATCCTGCAAAGATGAAAGTTTCAAACATGTTAAATCTGAAAATATATCAAATTCACAATGATGGGGGAAAAAGAGAAGTGGCTAAATGTTGCCAGCAACAGAATTTTTGTCGGTTGGTATATCGTATATAGGATTCTTTTATTGTATTTGCAGAACTCAAAACAGCAGGATTCACTGGATTCTGAAATATGACTTCTTACTGCAGTGAACTTACTTGAATAATGAATTATGATAAGTGCCAGCAAAAATATTGCACCATTACAGAAAATGTAGCTCCGGAGATTAAAGTTCAAGCTCAGATATAGCTGATATATGAAACAGAATCTCCAGTTCAAATAATTCTGGAGCCGAAAAGTATAACTATATGTCATGATTTCCTCTACTAAGGCCTAACTAAGAGTCCAGTCTCCACTGAACAGTCCTCCCCAGAGACGAACTACAGTTTGTCATCATGCTAGAGTTCTAGCAAGTTAATTGTTACTGACATAACTGAGATAACTATGTAGAAACATTTGCAGCTTTCCATAGCATGTTTTAAAAATAATGATTACATGATTTTAACAATTAAACAAAGTATGTTGGGTATGATGGCAATTTTGGTGAATATATGAGATATGGAATGAAGGCTGAACCAAGAAGTTTTCTTATGCAACCCCAAGAGTCCTTACTTCTTAGTATGTCCATACTTTCACAGGTACAGTTTCAATAATTCCCATGTTACGGTTTGCTTCCCAGTTGAATCTTTGACGCTTTGAAAATCATTTACCTCTCTTGTAACCATTGTGCGATTCATGAGATGGTGAATGAAGACATGTTTAGACTACATGAAATTGAAATTATTCCAATAACACTTTAATAAGAACTTGTAAGGTCCAAACCGAGGATGAAATATTGGGTCAATCACGGTTTTGGTTTATCCTTTTTGTATTGGTTCAGCAAGATTTGGGGGTTTTGATTTTTAATAATTTTTTAGTGGAGTTATCAGTAAATTATCCTTATTAGAATAAATTAGAATATCATCAGAAGCTTCTTTTTTTCCCCAATTGATTCTGTTATCTTCTCTAAAAATATCCAATCAACTTTTGCTTTTCAAGCTTCAAAGCTCCACCTATATTAGACTTTATTAGACAACTTCGGTCTGTACTAGTCGCCTATTAGCCATATCCACTGCCAATGTTACATTAAATGCTGGGTGTTTCTAGGCGTCGGACTTGGCGCCCAGCGCTTAGTCGCCTAGGCGGACGCCTAAGCGGTTTCTGAGTGTTTTTTCTTTCTTTCTTCATTTAAGTGGTGGTCGATGAGGTTTTGCTGAAGATCGGAGGAGGTAGTTGAAGTGTTCATATTTGGAGGTTAATGGAGTTTGGAGGACGTGTAGGCTACGACACATAAAATCACAATCAAGACCTACAAGGTGCAATCCACGTAAACAGACAATGCTCCTCTAAACGCTCGTAAAATCTAGATTGACAGCCTAAATACCGCCTAGGCGCTAGGCGCTAGTTAGGCGGCCTAGGTACCGCCTAGACCTAGGCGTAAGAACTAGGCGGAGGTTTTTTAAAACAGTGTCCACTGCGTCAGTCAGTTTTGACTAGATCAGATTGGCTTGCTTAAATCTAATGAGATATGGCTGATACATAACTATAAGCCAATACCTCAGAGACCAAACCCTGCTATATTTGATCTCTACTTGCGTATCACCAGAAACACCTAATTAACATGCATTTGATATGAGTGAGGACAGCTAAAATTGCAAAAAAAAAAAAAAATTGCACCCAGATCATCGATGACCAAGCACTAAATCTAATGAGCTTCATTAAGAGATCAGAAAATTTCTTGGTCTACTCTATCTAGCCGAAAAAACAAACAAAACATTAGAAAAAAAGAAAAAGAACAAATAATTCACCTCAGTTTTAGCTGAGGCAGACCCACCAAGATCCCCCATATGAATCTCACTCCCCTCGGTATCCATCATCACGGCAACAGCGAACCCCTTCTCCTCATTAAGCCTCCTCACCTGCCTTATCACCTCACGGTGCCACTCGTGGGACCCATGGCACATATTCATCGCGACATGCTCCGCCCACCGCCAGCGCCCTCCAGACTCTCGCCCGCACGTGGCGCCGACGTTGCACACGAGCTTCGTCCTCCGCGTCGACCTGAACGTTCTCCTTCATTCTCCGCATCCGACACGCGTGACGTCGATCGCCGCGGCGGAGGAGGAAGACGGTGACGCCGTTGCGGAGGCGAGGAGGCGGTAGCGGCGGAGGAGCAGGAGATGGCGCGGAGAGGCGAGGAGGGGGAGGCGAGGGAGAGGGGGAAAGGGGGGGACATACAGGAAGCGGGTAGGGAGGGAGCGGGCGGGGGCGGAGGCGAGAGTGGAGGGATAAAGTCATTGTCATGATTAGGAGGATATTGGAATCGGGCGAGGGAGAGAGAGAGGTTTGGTATATATTTAAGGGGTTTTTTTCGAGAGGAGACGGAGATTTCGAAGTGAATCCGTGGGAGTGAGAGGGGATGTTTTGGAGGCCAAGACTTTGGAGCTGTCGCCCTAAGTGGGAAAGGGGATGATGATTGACAAGTTTGGTGAAGGATAGTATTTGTAACCTGCTTGTTTGGCTTCGTATAATAAGTGGGTACTAGCGGTGGGCACGTGCGCAGCGCGTGCTTGCTTCATGTAGTTGTTTCGCCAAATAAAATAAAAAAATTTAAAAATACAAAGAAAGAGGTAAAAATACAAACACTTCTCCAGGAGAATGGAACTCAGGATAAAAAGTAACGCACTTCACTCAACAATTCAATTAAGTACAAGGACTAATGAAGGGGAAACAGCAGACTATATAGGTTTGAGAAATAGTTGATTTTTCCCCTGTTACCAAAAGAATTTGTACAGATCGATGTTTCTTAAAGAAATATTTAACCGTATCAGATGTAGAATTTCTGAGAGGCCTCCACTTTTAACTTACAAGTAGCATATGTTAAGGAAAAAGCAAAATATAGTAATTAGTACATAAACATCTGAAAAGAAATATAGAGAAAAAACTACATACAAAGAATTTTTAACATATTGTTTATACAAATATGAACTTGATTGGATCTAGGCTATGGCTTTTTTATAGATTGAATGAAAGAAAACTGATCTTTTTCGATCTTGTTGTCAGATCTCTTTAGGAAAGGAGATCTAGGTTAGGGCTGTCACGAGGCGCAAGTCGTGGGACCGACCACCGAGTGTAACTTATTGTTTGGCTCAAAATCGGTTCAAAAATTCTTAACATATTGTTTGGCTCAAACCAGGGCTCCAATCAAGTTCATATTTCTTACGTAGAAATTTTCAAGCACCACTGAAGAATTTGATTTGGAAAATTACTTATAACTTAGGGGGTGTTTGTTTGCATGCAAGTAAAATATGAAAGTGAGAAAGTTACTTTCATTTAATAATTAAGGTGTTTGTTTTCATGTATGTGATTATGAAAGTAATATGTAAGAAAGTTGCCACATAAGATTTAATGCAATTTTGACTTCCCCTAAAAAAATGGTGAAGTCACATGAAAGTGATAAAAATATAACTAATTTTATTAAATAATTTTAATTATATTTTCCAATTAATCTTATTTTGCCACATCATCTTCACATTGCACTTTCGATAATAATTTAATTTTTCAAACAAACAATGTATTTCACTTGCGTGCTGACATGGATGTAAAAGTCATTTGCAAAAAAAAATAACTTACATATTTTAAATTCACTTTTAGATTGCCAAACACCCCCTTAATGAAAAACCGGTTCTTCAGCTCCCTGATGAAAGAATAGAAGAGGAGGAAGACGAACCGCGGACGAAGTAATCCTTCAAAAATGGCTTTTGAGCTACCTAATGAAAGAACATAAGCGGATGAAGACGAATCGCGGGCGAATAAATAAGAGGAGAGAGCAATGGAAGAGGAAAGGAGGAAGAAGAAGTAATGAGTTTTTTTTTTCTTCTGGTTTGGCACGTGTCTTCGAGCCCGGACAGGTGTTGCTGTGGGTAGCCCCATATTTGACTGTGAACTCATGGACAAATTCGTCCAAATAAAGTTACGCAAAAAACACTCTTTAAGTCTTTGAGCTCCTAGGGTTTTTTTATATGGAAAACTCATCAGGGACCCCAAAATAGGACTCGAGGAGATGGTGGCCCCGTGGGGCATTGGATGCACTGCTTCGTGCATCAAGGCCCCCACGGCACCTGCTCCCTCGGGGGTCTTATTTTGGGGTCCCTGTATGCCAAGTACTCTTTTTATATAAGTTTGAATGATTTTATCTCGATCGCGATCTAACGTGTATTTGTGATTAGGTGAGTGTCTGGGTTTTTTTTTTTTGAGCGTATGTTTTTTGTTTTTTTTTTTTTTGAAGCGTGAATCATTTCTAAGCTCAAAATTATATTTCCATTGTTGTTGTGTGTTTCAGATTTCTCGGGATGTAGTATTTTCTGTTTGCTTCAACCAGAAAACCTGCAAAGAAAATGGTTTGCATTAATTCTCTAATTTGATTAGTAAAAAAAAAAGAGGAAACCAAGGGGGATGATTGGGGTTTCCTCTTATTTTTCATGTTTGGAACCAACCAAACAAGTAAAACGCTACCAGCGGTGAGATGATCACGCAAGAATCTCATGAACAAATTAAACTCCAATGGCCAGATTGAGGTTAAATGGATGTACGAGCAAGCATGGAGTTATAAATATGTAGTAATATGCAAGATAAATTGGCAATATCAACTATCCTGTACAGAATTAGAATGCCTACTCCTCAAAGTTTTCAAGTTGAATGCTATTTGCAGCATTCATGATGGCCTACAAACATGGCAAGAATAAGGGAGGATGTTTTTTGGGATGTTTTTAGGCTAATTCCTTGTATATTGCACTTTATAATCACAACTATAATGTGTAATTTGAAATAATTAAATGAGATTCATGTAGTCAAACTCAGGATAGTGTATGATTATCACCATAGCAATTATTGTTAGAAATAAAACCACTGCAAAATAATCAAAATAGAATTTCCAGAAAGTTAGAAACACAGGCCTGAGAAGGGGTAATCGTGTGATCACTGCCCTAGAACAATAGTCGCCGCCTTCGCAGAGACGATTTGATGCAACCACGCCTAGCGGTAAGAACCCCCCGAGAAAGCCGGCACCAAAGTTTACTGTGAAACTTTGATCTCTGCTCAATGGATGTTTTGCCCGAAAATTGAAATCAGAAATCAAATATTGTAGAGAATAAGAGGGAGATTAGGGAATTGCTCACTGTTTTGTTGTCTCTTTTTTTTTCTTTTTTCCCTTCATTTTCCCTGGGATCCCCTTTTAATAGCCGCTGTGAATTTCCGTTGTCGTTGATGAGGCCGGAGAGATCGCCTACGTTATCGTTGTCGTTGACGAGATTTTCTCTCGGAGGAAAAGGAATAAGAGCGGAATCATCGGGATTTATTTTTTTAAAAGCTCGCAGAAAGAAAGGAGGAGAGAGCGGAGGAAACGTTACAGAAGAAAGGATGATGAAGAGTTACAGATGAGAGGATAAGAATAGACATTATGCAAATGTACCCCTCAAAATAACATATTTGCACAAAATTCATTAAAGAACTCAATCTTTTTTAATTAATTCCAACAACCCCCCCCCAAAAAAAAAAAGATTGAGTTTTAGGGAATAAAAGAATAATAATAACAACAACAATAATAATGTTAACAAAATATAGGTCGGGCAACCTCATATTATGAATTCGGCAAAGATAGCTTTCGGCTTTGAATCTTTGCTTAGTGACATTTGTCGCAATCTGAGAGGCATAATGGATTAGACCTTGAATTAGGCCCCTTGATCAGAAATTAACAAAAGCACACATAATATGCATCCATTTATTGAGCGAGCGGGTCGGAGCGATAATGGCCATGCTCACAAAATTCGTCTCATGAGAGTTACTAGGACTCAGCCCTATGTCCCCAACCACGGCCGTCACGGTTCCTCTCACGTAGGTAAGTCCTCCAAGGGTACGGTGACTAGATATTGCACCCCCCACAAAGGTTGGACTTATTAAGAGTAAAACTCATCCTACCCAGTCACATCATAAGAGCACTGTCACCATAGGAATGAGGGAGTAGCTAACATGGTGCAAGTCATAAATGCATCCAACACTACAAAAGGAGTATAACTCCGACGGTCAGTGCTCCACACGAGATCACCAAGGGTACTGTGACTAGATATTGCACACCTTTTTCATGAGAATAATTCATCAATCAAAGGTTGGGTTCCCGCTGTCAGTGAACTCTACTATGGGCTTAACCCCATTCCCCTCGATGATTCTAGGATTGCACTCCTAGATAGACCCTTTGTCAAGTGGTCTGCCAAATTTTTCTCTGACTTTACAAAATCCAAGGCAACATATTTTCCCATAAGGTTCTGCACAGATTTAAATCTTATCTGCAGATGTCTGTTCAACTTTTTATTGATGGTATTTTGTTTTAAAAGTTCTATAGTGGATCTGGAGTCTGTATGAATAGATATGGGAGGAATAGGTCCAGACACAAAAGGGAGTTCAGATATAAGGTTTTTCAACCATTCAGCTTCTGAGCAGCAAGAATCTAAAGCTATAAGTTCAGACTCCATGGTGCTTCTAGCAATCACTGTTTGTTTACAAGATTTCTAAGATATAGCAGCACCGCCAAGCATAAAAATAAATCCAGAAGTAGACTTCACATTGTCAGAATCAGTGACCCAGCTAGCATCACTATACCCTTCAATCACATTAGGGTATCCAGAATAAGTTAAACAATAGTCTGTTGTACCTCTCAAATATCTAAAGACTCTTTCTAATGCATTCCAGTGTTCCTGACTTGGGTTACTAGTGTATCTACTTAGTCTACCTACTGCATAAGCAATGTCAGGTCTGGTTCGGTTTGTCACATAAAGAAGAGAGCCTATTAATTTGTTTAAGCCCATATAAAGATTTCATCAATCTGCAAACCTTTCTTTCTTGACCTTTGGCTATGAACCCTTCCGGTTGATCCATATAAATCTCTTCTTTGAGATCACCATTTAAGAAAGCGGTCTTAACATCCATTTGGTGAATAA